TTTTGTGTGATGTAAATTAAATGTTGAATGGCGGTTCATGCAGGGGAAGAACATATCAATATTCGCATATTCATTCAAAAACATGAAAATTCTTAATGGGGTACCCTCATTTTTTATTGAATTCCTAAAAAACAATATTTATAATGAATTTTAATAATTTTTTCGGATTTTTTTGAAGCTTTATTCTGACCGATTCACCCGATTCCGATCCGGATCGCCGATTCGCCGATCCGGATCGCCGATTCGCAGATCCGGATCGGTTTTTGAAAAGCCCGATCCGGGTCAACGATCCAGTTTTTAAACCATTGGGTTGACTCCTTTCAAGAGAATCTTGGAACATGGACCATCTACCTATATACTATCTTTTTCTATGAAGCCTCACGTAACTCTCTCCATTCGCGCTTTATCTTTTCTCTCCTTCCATTTGCTTTATCTTATCTGTCCTTCCCAAAAAATAAGAGTTTCTGTATGTAGAAATTTAGCCTTTTCTATACCGTCATGAATACTCTCGGGTCACCTCCAGTAGAAGGATCGATGGATTTGACCTATTTATACTATATTTCTAGTCTAGTGATTGAAAGTCAGTTTAATATTACAAACATCGAACTCTCGAACTGGAGTAGAGATGTGTAAAAGAGAAATGAAGTAATCATATCAATTGCACATGAAGAATCTTAATCTGAAAAAAGGGTAAATGACTTTCGATCCAATCCACTATTTTTGTGCGTCCACTGCTTTTGAGATTCACTATAGAATCCTATATTGGTATTAGAGTGATCACGGTGGAAGTCTGCCTCTTGGACTTGATAACTGGTGTGGTTGTGCAAAAACACAAAAAACATATTTTCTCGAGAGTTTTTTGTTCCGTTTTTTTATTTTTTCTAGAGTTTTTTTGTGGCATATGTAGGCCCTTGTGGGCTCTGAAAGCGATCCTAAGGTTCAGGTAATGATTGGGACACACGGGGCTAATTTGAGCGCCCCAAACTCATGCTGCGGTCGCCCTAGACCCTCAGATCTCATGTACAACGGATCACAATGTGTCCATGCAGGCGCATGTGGACGGTGCGTCCTTGCACATGTGCATGTGAAGTGTGTCACTTGCAAGTGCGTATGCCTATGCTGGCCCCGCATGGTGGACTAGTACGGTGCACATGCATTTGCATGTGCACAGGTCACCTTAGTGCACAAGCCAATATATGAAAAAACTTGACACGTGCAAGCCTACACACGTGCTGTGTGGCACACTTGCATTTGGGATGATGACGAGGATCAAGGGCCTTACTCTCAAATCTAACCCGATGCTGATTCATAGCCTTGGCCCTTATCTGGCTACACAAAGTTTTCGCTTCACGTTCTTTTGGAAGTAGGATTTTTTGATTCTTGACGATTTGAGCAAGTGTTATATACAATTATACTTATATAATTGTGTGTGAACAAATTGTTGGGATATGGATATCTTGGGTTTATATTGATATACATTATTATGGATGTATATGTATATATCTCTTGATAAGGTTAGGTATCTAGAAGATAGAGACCAAGTTACTTGGTCATCAAGTTATCATACCATAATTATCTCTTCTAATTGTGTGATTGTCCTCTATATATATAGAGGTACCTCTTGACCAAGTTACTTGGTCATCAAGTTATCATACCATAATTATCTCTTCTAATTGTGTGATTGTCCTCTATATATATAGAGGTACCTCTTGATATAAAGACTAATCCAATATAGTGAAGATATAGCCAGTTGGGGCTTTGGATCTGTGGACGTAAGGCTTCGGCCTAAACCGGCCTAAACCGCCTGAACCACATACATGTTATGTTCTCTCTCCATTCTATGCTCCCACAAATTCTAATATGGTATCAGAGCCATGACTCCTCAGCTCAGATTTGATATCGAGAAATTTCAAGACCATCTGCAACCACCTATCCTTGGTGATGTGTTGGTAGCATGACCTTTATTCTCCCATGATGTCCGAGGATTGAGTTGGTAAAAAGAGGGGAGAGACGTGATGGTGATTCCAGGGTTCCCTGTGAACGATGGTGATATGAAGCGAATGCTGAATGTTATCCAGGATTCTTTGTCTCAAATTTCAACTGCAACCCTTGACCTCCAAATCATTGGCATAGATCAATTTGCTATGGTGGAAGAATTGGCTTTTCTTATTAAAGATAACTTGCCTTGTAAGCATCTCATTCTTTCAATGGAAGATGTCCTAGTCAAATTCCTTCAACGAAATACATGCTTCGAGACTGTCTTGGAGCTCGTACCAATGAATCCTTACCACCGCATGCTTCTACATTGTCTTGTAGAGATTTTTGGGTTAGCACATGAATCTGTTGGTGAAGGAGATGCTCGCCATTTAAATCTGGATTTAAATGGTATTTTTTTGAAGATTTGGGTTTTTGTCTAGATGCCCAATTTCATTGGTTTTTTTTTGATATGATTATATTAAAAAAAATAATAATTTGCAAGTTGGGTGTTTCTTTGAACTCAACTTGAAGGGGAGAGTATAGGAGATATGAAGAATAGGAGGAGATATGGAGAATAGGAGATAAGGAGAGGAGATGAGTTGAGATGAAGTAAATATCTCTAATGTAACCGCTAAAGAAAATCCATATTCTGGCTCAGTCCAACTACTATGCAAAGGGAAGTTATGATCATATTGATTATAGAGTTCCGTCTCCAGATGAAGAGATGAAGATGATCGAATTTTTCGATCTTTGTTGATGATCAAGTTTTCCGATCCTTGATCTTATTTGATGAAGGAGTTTTCCGTTGCTCTAGTATAGGAGATAAAGAGAATAGTAGACATGGAGATGAGATGAGTAGAGATGAAGTCAATATCTCTAAT